GTGAATCGCAAGAAATTAAGCAACCTGGAAGTCAAAATCATTTTCTTCCGCGGCGCTGTTGCGCCGCTCACTTTATGCATCCCAAAATTAATGAACCACTTGTCACTTACCTACCTATAGTACGTCTACCTAGCTATGTGTCCCGGATCTCACAGTACAGATATAACTCTTCAGCCCCAATTTTGGGAGTGAAATAGCACCATAAGCGGTAAAAGAGCGCATTTTCGGACAAATTCTCCAACAAAATATATCTCTTTCATTTTACAAACAGTTGTGAATGGGATCGCTTCAGTAGGAAGCTTGCACGCGTTGTGAAAAGGTAGGGAGGCTGGACGATGGCATGTGCATGCGGTGCCACAAGCGTGAGAACACCTACCGAATACAGTATAACAATTCGAAGTCCGAACTATATCATTCAAACTCAGTTATAGATCTATTTCGCCACGCCTATAGTATAACTGCCAAGGCGTGTGCATAAATTTAATAAGTTTATTATTTGGTTATATTTTATTTAGACTCATGGCAGCTAGAATGATCATTTTGAGTCCTGTAACTGAAGCTCACGTTGCGGTCACATAAGCACTTACCGGAAGATGTGATTCCGGAAGTTCGCGACAAGTCTAATCAGACGCACACCCATGGCACCCCTAGTGTCCCTTTAACTTAGCCCGGACTCGGAGCTCCGTGACGTCGTGGCCTTGAGGGTTAAACCCCAGTGGAAATCGACAATATTTTCGTATATGTTTACCTGTATATTTTGGAGGCCACAGACTGCTGAATGACACTTGCATGACACTCCCTCGACCTACTCTACCTGCATCAGGTGTGCGTCATACGGGGACGCGATGCTGTCGAGTCACTCGAGTGCGTCGCGTGAGCGCATGCCTCGCGTGTCGCCTGCGTGAGCGCGTCGGCCGCGTCGGATTGAATCGCGGACTCTACTGCGTTCAAGTTGTTGGTGTATATTTAGCTGCAGTGATCGCGGTATGACATCACTTGCCGCTCTCGCGCGATTCATAAAGTCGTCGCGTCGCAGTAAAACGTTTGCACGCACTCTCCTCTCAACCACAAGGTATCCCCTTTGCACTCTGAATTATTAACCAATATGACTTGTCTGTCTTAGGCGGTATTCCCAAGGCAGGGGGCACATTGCGGAACGCACGAGAATGTAGAGATATAGTGAGTAATTGTTAGTTGCATCACAAAATTTTAATATTCTGACTTTAATATCAACGCAGGAGGCGATCATGAGGACAGGTTGAATAGGTATGTCCCCATATGGAACGGGAGACAGGTCGCGCAGGCAAACTGGAATATGTGCGGGTGGGGGGGGGGCGCATAGAGATGGTGGAAGTGGGTACCGGATACGAGAGGTGCGAAGCGGGCGGGACGTGCGATTGCCGGGGGACCGGCAGAACAGACGGGCGAGGTGGGGGTCAGAATGACACAACGGAAAAGGTAGAAAATTACAGTAATATGTGTAAATACAACGGGATGGGCTTGCGAGGGGGCAATATATGAGAACACATGTGAATATCTGTAAAAGTACAAGAATTCCTTCCGCTCACTCCTGATACCGGGGAAGCCCATATACGCGGCGCACCACGACTGTATATCCTCCTGATTTTGCAGCTATTTTCGATGTATTTAGATCTATTACCAACCTATGCCACGCCAGCTGCGATAGCGGCACAAATCATCAGAATATAAATCCATGTATTTAAAGTGCCACTTACTACATTCCCCTGTATTTAGAGCTATTGTTCTACCTGCTATATAGAGGAACATATCTAAAAACATGAGAATATTGTCGATTTCCACTGGGGTTAAACATTAAGGACTAATGTCACATTCGGCTGTTCCTATACATCATGCAGTATCGGTACAGGGCTACATGATTCATTGCAGGCCACAGATGTTGAAATACGACGTGTGACAGATTAGCACGTCCACCCATAGCAGATCACATCGATTCGGCGGCGGCGAGTCTGGGACGTGTCGGCGGTACAGGCGCCTTCGGACGCGAGGCTGGGTCGCACGTCATGGTCGACTTAAACAAGTCGTACATATGTGAAAGGCGATGGCGGGCAGTCTAACCTGACGCAACCCGCGGTAGTAGCGGCAAAGTAGCGGAGCAGCAGCCTGCGAAAACAAGCGCGACGATGTGACACGACACGTCTTTTTTAGAGGAAACACGAGAAAAAGTAAAAATTGAAGCAGATCGGGCTTGCAATGCCGCCACATGACAAAACTACAGTAACTCATAGCACTTCAGCCAACATAAGTATCCAAATCTCCGAAAGCTATATAGCTAGTGAGAAGTTGAAGGCCCGGACTCTATTCACTGCAGTGTATGTATATCGTATTATACGATCATCATCGGTATCCTTTCCGTACACCGACGTCTGAATTACCGACAGCATATCTCTCAAACCACTCACCAGTGCCGAGCGCTGAGGACCCAGCTGAGCGATGAGCTCGGAACGTTGATCTCCTGTTGTCACCCGTGAGATTCTGATTCATTCAGATGTTCAGACAGAACTGTAGATGCTGGGCATAGGACGACAGCTTGGACGCCGACAGATCCTACTGGTGACAGATGATGCTCGCAGAGTTGCTAATATCTCGGGCTTCCCGTCGTCCCTTCGCAAGGAAAGTTGGAAGTAGAAAGGGACCTGATGATGGCGATTCCCCGGTGCGCACCCAGAATGCAACCGTTGGAAACGGCGAGGCTCGGAAAGATCGATCCTGACTGTGGGATCAAGAGGTCTAAGCTTGAAGCTGTTCTCGTCACGGGCATCTCCAGTCGCACATGAGGAGTCTGTAGACCGCGACTATATAGAGGTAAGTATGACCTGTTCACCTCCCTACCATCAACTCGAGAAACCAGGATGCAACACGAAACTCGGCCTACGAGAGACTCTGTCTTCGCTATACTCAATGAACCTGTAGACGTCGAACGTCGCATGAAAGTGATCATAGGTAATGTCATATCCTCAAATACATTCAACCTGTCGTCTGATGTGGTTACAGTGGGCAGCGGATTTGCTGGCCTTGCAGCCGCGTATCGAGTCACAAAAGACGTAGAAAATATGGATCTCGTCGTATACGAGAAAAACAGCGATGTTGGAGGAGTATGGTAGGCGTCTCCAAGGTTGCGAACCCACCAGTTCTTGCGCCTGACTATGGTTATCTGCCAGGTATCAGAATCGCTACCCAGGCATAACCTGTGATGTGTTCGTTGTGATTCTGTCCTGACTGCCATCGTGAAGCTGACTTCTCCGATGGATCCCTAGACCCTCTCACGGCTATCAATTCTCCTACGCAGAGAATGTGGGTATCATTTCTCGCACCATCAAAAGCCCTCTTTCATTGTTCTTAACAGACCCAGTGGAGCAAATTTTACGCGCCTGGCTCTGAAATTTTTCAATACCTACGTGATTGTGCGTCGGCGCTTGGTCTGCGGAAATACATGAAGGCAATTACATCTAATCATCATCCACAACGCATTCATCTAATCGATTCCCCTGCGCACCGCGTAATAGTTTAATCACGAAGTCGTCAGGGCTGTTTGGGACGAATTGGCATGCGTTTGGACGGTTACTTTGCGGTCCGCAGATAACGGTACTCTCGTTAATGACACCGCAGACGTTGTTATATGCGCCACGGGCGGCCTCGACCAGATACGAATGCCAGACATCGCAGGCCTGGGGAGCTTCAAAGGGAAAATGTACGCGCGGATTCATATCTTTGAGGGTATCTTCAAATTTACGTCCAACTAGCGTGCATACTGCCTCCTGGGATATGGATCCGGCGGGGAGTGCTTGGGTGAATCGTCGCGTTGCGGTGATTGGATATGTAAGGATATTCCTATTACGCGTTGTCTCATATAGCTCAATCTCTGACTGCAGGGCGCCGTAAGGTGTTTCGGCGTAGTCTCCATTCGTTAACTAATCCTCGAATTTGTAGAGCGCGACACAAGTAGTCCCTGCACTACAGCCTCACGTGGCGCACATGGATAACTATGTGCGCGGACGCACGTGGATTTTTCAGCCTTTCGTAACGTTGGAGAAGTACGATGATGGTGCGACAGGAAACCGTACGCCACCTTCTGCCCAATCCTTTGCTGTTGTAGCCGCTAAAGGTCCTTATAGATGTCTTTACGGAAGACGAAAAGCGCTCCTTCAAAGAGTCCCCAGAACAGTACAAGAAACTGCGACTCGAGATTGAAGATTCGCTCAATCCAGCTTATCCGCTCACTCAAGATGGGAACGATGGTCAAGCTATGATACGCCCTATTTTCGAAAGCATCATGAAGAGTAAGCTGGAATCGAGGCCTGATATTGCAGAGGCCCTGATAGTAAGCAGGGGACCAGCTCTTTATTGTAGCTTTTGATGCCATCCCATCGTCCTATGACAGCCCCTCTCAGTTGTCGACGGTTAACACCTGGCCAAGGTTACCTGGAAGCTCTGGTACGTCCATGGATCGGTTAATTTCGGGAAAGGAGTTGACACATAATGCCCCAAAGTTGGCCGACAACGTAAGCCGAGCATACGTGCATTGCTCGGTTATTGACTTCTGTTCTACCATGCTGCCAGGTCCACTTCGTCAACACGAAGATACATCGCGTAACTGAAGATGGTATCGAGACAGTGGCGAACGTCGACAGTACGACGTGATAATCGCTGCCACCGGATTCGACACCTCGTACAAGCCAAGGTATCCGATCATTGGACGCAATGGTGTAAACCTTCAAGATGTGTGGTCAGATTATCCGAAGACCTACTTCGGAATATGCCAGAGTGAATGCCCTAACTGGTACAATTTCCATTGTGCCATGTTCTTAACCATCGACTAATCGGCACATCGCACTCAGGTTCCAGGTCGGGGGGCCCAACAGTGGGATCTCCGTGGGCTCTTTGATTCCGATGCTTGAGAAGCAGGCAGAGTACATCACGACATGTATCCTGAAGATGCAACGACAGAGGATTAAGGTGATGACGGTTCAGAAACGCGCTGTGGACGAGTTCCAGGCGTATATCGAGGCCTACTTCCCCAGGACCGTCTTCTCGAAAAACGTGCGTGTTGAGCATTCTGTCTCACTCATCGGCTCATAAGACTTGTGTTGAAGTGCTCCAGCTGGTATAAAGACGGCAAGATTGATGGCAGAGTGATAGGGTTGTGGCCCGGTGAGTGCTTAGGAACACAAAGCTATATTCATATGGGTATTGATCTGGTTCTCTAAGGATCAACTCTGCACCATCTCCGAGTTCTGGAGCAGCCTCGTTTCGAGGATTATGAGTACACCTACCTGGAAGACTCGGCAAGTTACCTGCGTTGGCTGGGTAACGGTCTGACTGTAGCGGAAGTGGAAGGGAAACCTGGCACGAGAGCTTGGTACGTCTGAGGGCCAACGCAGATGGACGCGAAGGAAACGGAGGCTGCGAGGTCAGCGGTCCATTGCCGTGGCTTGATTGTACGGGTATACCAACGATATGGAGGACTGGGTGAACCGCGTGGCGCGTGTACTTAGAATTGGGATCGTGAGTCCTGTGATTATTTCTAGTTGGACTGCGCAATGTAGCTTGTTGGGCCTGTCTTGTGTCAAGCCTTGTATGATATATAACGATAACTATTTTCTGCAGGATGTCTTCAGTCGACCAAACAGACGACCTTGCCACTTGCTTTATTCGCCTCCATATACTCATGAGCAGCACCTGCCTCTTCTATCTTGAACACCTTGTCGAGCCCAAGGTGAACCTCTCCCCGTGCAACGGCATCCATAATCCATTGCAGAGGTGCCTTGGATACGTCCAAATAGTGCGAACTATACATCGTCAAGTGCTATAATGTACGCATACAACTCAGTAAATGTGGGAAAGAAAGAAAAATTGGAGACATACCTTCCTCGGGGCGAGGGTACCCATCGGGTCGAACTCCTTGCACGTCCACACGCCTCCCAAAACCCCCACAACACTCACAACGCCGTTATCCGCAAGCGCGTTGCACGAGTCATCAAGTGTCGGCGGGCCGACCAGCTCTATGCACTTGTCCGCCCCCTTTCCGCCCGTCAGCTCTTTCACCTTCTCCGCGACCGACGCAGACTCGTCCTCGATTATGACACGGTCGGCTCCGTATGTTCTGAGTTTGTCCACCTTACCAGGCGAGCGGGTGGTTGATATAACCTTGGGGCAGGAGAAAAGAGAGGACTTGGCCAGAGTGGCAGCGGCTACGCCGACACTTGAAGTACCACCGCGAATGAGGAGCGTGTCTTTGGATGTGAGTTTGAGGGACTCTGATAAGGCCGCCCAGGCTGCAGGATAGCATGGATTTAACCAAGGTACAGTACCACCAAGTGTCGAGCATCGACATTACCTGTAAAGAAAGTCTCTGGGATGGCACCAAACTCAGCCCAGCCCATTCCCTCCGGAAGCTTGACAGGTTGAGACACCTGCTTCGCAGGGATGAGCGCATACTCCGCATACCCACCTGTTATCGCTCAGCATCCCCGTCGCACCACATTACCCAATCCAACGCACCGTCAAACTGCCGTCCCATCCCACCCATGACTGCGGCGACGACATCGCCCTCCTTCCAACTTCCTCCTCCCGCGTCCTGCACCGTCCCGACGCATTCGATGCCAAGGACCCGGGGGAACTGGATACCAGGGGAATGTCCCTGCCGGGTGAAGAGCTCCGAGCGGTTGAGTCCGAAAGCCTTGACGCGGATGAGGACGTGCCCTGGCTTCGGCAATGGCTTCGGGTGCGTCGTCGTATAAACAAGCCCGGACGGCGGGATCGAGGCGCGGGGACAGACGACTGCGCGCATCTTACACAAAGGTTGGATGGGGTACATAGAGAAAACCTACCAATGATTTATATGTTGTGAGGTGGGATCTTGGGTAAGGACTGACGTAGCCACCTTAGTCACGTCTTCGTCTTTCCTTCATCCTCTTCCTCTACGCACGAAGTACGGGTGACTGAACGAGCCGACGCTACCGGACAAACAACCAACCAGCCTGGGCGGGGGTTCCTTGAATAGAGGTTCGTAGACAGAGGACTGAGCGCCTGCGGAATACAACCACGTCTGGTGTGATGAGTTGAGGTTAGACGCGAAGCAGCTTAGCAATCCTATGACGCATAAGGGCTAAACATGATAATCTAGCTGACACGCTCTCCTCTGGCAAACGGCCTCCGTCGAGGAAAGGATTTGCGGCAGAGTCGAGTCAGTCTGTGTTCGGTGCAAGGCGCATCAAACCAACATCAAACCTGCGAACTGTAGTGACATAAGCCGAAGGCCGTCAACCAATCAGAGCTCTCCCATCCTACGCATGGCACATCTCCACCAAACCCATCTCTCCCAAGTCCCAGTTTGCCACCAACTTCAGTCCCGACCTGCGACTGAGAAGCATAAGGGTGAGTACCAAAAATTCTCGATACACTTTGCGGTGCAGGACCACGTACCCCAAGTCTGCGAGGTGCTCCACGGTTCGCCCTCTGGCATTATATAGGAGCATCATGTGGATGTCTTGGTTGTAAGTCATGACCGTTCCTTGGCCATAGTTGGGTAGCAGCGGTGCCGGGGCCTGTGGAGGTTGTGAAGTGCTTGGTTGGCATATACTCCTTATCACAGGGGACGTACCTGCTCCATAGCGTTCGCCGTGGTGGTAGCCGCAACCGGTCGGCAGATGAATTCATCTGAGAGAAGCGTCATCATTTGAATCAAGCTTTGGTCAATTTCCTCACGGATAAGCAGTTTGCTCGAAGGCTTCATCGCTCGTCGCACGTTCTCCAGGATTACTATGCACTCTGCGTCGGGCCAGTCATGTCTGATAGTGATGTCACATATGAAAGTGTCCTATCCTTATGGCTGGATGTATTTACAAAATATGATGAAGCTAATCAATGCAATGAGGTCGTCAGAGCTTATTCAGAGGTCTGGGTCTCTCACATAGTAATAATCGCAGTCGGGCACGGGTGATTGCGTGAAAAAGTCAATGGGCAGGAACGAGACTCCCGGTCGCAACAGCCTCAGGATGTTCGGACTCCCAGAACTAGTGGCCATGAGTTATCAGGATGCGGTATACAGACCCGGGACAAGTTGACCTGTTGAGCAATATTCATGAAGGAAGGCTGGTCTTGGATCACAGCCTTCATGTGGGGGAATTGCTTCATAAGCAGCATAGACATGTGACCGTTTCCTCCTCCTACATCGCAAATAACGGCGTCCTTGTGTAATGTCGACCAAGGATACGCTGGGCGGAAGCTTCAGTAGACAGACGGTACCAGTTGAAGGAGGAAACCTTTCGCGAGCGCTCCTTTGTTCATGATCTCTCCGGCGCCTATCATTGCTTTCGCAAAGGTCTATCAAAAGGATAAATGACAGCCGAATGGAGGAAAGGGAGAAAGGGCAAGGACCTCATCTTTCGGAACACCATATTGCTGGAAATGGTCAGTTTTTCAGCTTCGCAAAATCAGACATCCTACTGACGTCTGTTGCACTTCCCAGATACGCGAAGTAATGCATGCCAAAAACGCGCGTGAACGCTGACTTGTCGGCGCTATCCGAAGTAGCGTACTCTGCGTCCTTAAATGTCTGATTCAGCTGCACGATACACTTCATGCTCTCGTCAGTGCTGGGGAGGTGCATGTGTTTGTGTAAGAACGAAAAGCGTACACTCGGCTAGCTACTTACGTTATTGCGATATAATGTGAAACCGGGTCGTCTGTCACTAGTCATATACTCAGGCGGTTGTTGGCGAATACATCGGGTGCCACTGCAAGTGTAGGTCATCCGGCGGCATGGGCATCATTTGTACTTTGGATCGCACCTTCCCTGTAGCAATGCTGGGTAGCGAGAAGCCGCAGGACCCGGGACAATCTACCCGCCTCGATGCCGCTCCTGCTAGAGAGTTCGGAGACGTGCAGGCCATCTGGGTGGCCGAGAAGATGATCGGATATCTTTGCTTCTGCAGTAATTCGCAAGGCAGCGCTAGTGAAACTCTGCATGGCATTAGACCTGCAAACCCTCACGTGATATATTGATACCAGCGGACCACTCACGCCAAAAGCTTTCTAGAGGCAACAGTATATCAGCATGGAGGACAGGATAGAGAAAGCGTCCACCAGAACATTCTCCATTGTATGGGCAGGCGAGGCGACAGTAGCACAGAGCTGCGCACACGCGCCTTCGATTATCCTTACCGCCTTGATGATATTGAGGTTGACATGTTCTTGACTATCGAACGCTCCTGGGGCGATGGAGTCGAGAGACGGTACACTTTCTCCAGCTTTGTTGTATTCCTGTATCACATCATTGGCCGCTGCAGAGATACAGTGCTTTGCATAAAAGTCCGGAAACCGTGATTCGCGAAATGTTGTTTGTGCCAGCCAAACAAACCTATATGGGGTAGTCGATCACCGTAGCGCGGGCTGTTGACTGGTCGGCGGGACGCTTCAACATTCATGTATGAGGGTCGTTCTTGGGGGATTTTGACCTCTGCGTGCTCGATATCCTGAAGAGATACAGATCTGAACGTTATTCAGCCTTGAGATGGGCATTTGTGTCCCAGGAGCGATATAGGCTGACTCGAGGACCGTCGCGCCCTCGGTCAGGTGTTACCCTATAAGGTATTGTTTGGCTGGGACAAACAGAAACGCGCGAAACGCAGTTTCCGGACTTTTATGCAAAGCACTGTAAGATCAACAAGGGCGAGGAGAGCATTAGCGGCATCTTGTCTTGGCATGGCGAAGTACTAGGACAGCGTGGCTG